CAGAAATATTTGTGTGTGTGTGTGTGTGTGTGTGTGTGTGTGTGTGTATGTGTGTACGCTGTAAATCTGAGTGACAGGGGTGAAGAAGCTGAGGTCTGGCAATTGCCATTACTAAGAGGAGAACAAAGCCACAAATAAACCAGCTGTCCTCTCCCAGCTCATCCCACTTGTACCCATTGTGGCTGCACTGCTGGAAGAGTGGTTGCAGGGGACAGTGCTGGGATTTCACAGGCTCAGAAACCCATTGCCCACAACATTCCCCCACAGGATTGGTGCCCTGAGACTACAGTGACCTGATCACAGAGGAGACACCCACCTCCCCAGGGAATACAAGGTATTTTCCACTTTCTGCAAGGATCCAAGAGTTAGAGCAGTGCAAGAGAAACTAAGAAACTTGCACTTCAGAGCCACCTACTGGAAAACAAAAGAAAAACTTCCTATCAACCTACTAAATAGAGATGCCACTCTTTAAATTAAAAAAAGAGGGAGATTTCATTTTCATATATGCCTAGCAGACAAATAATCCATCAAATTCCATGATTAAGCAAGGCAATGAGGCACCTCAGAAAGAAAAAAATGTTTAAAATCTCCAGAAAAAAAACTTAAAGACATGGAAATATGTAATTAACATGATAGAGAATTCAAGAGTGCAGTTCTGAAAAAACTCAATGACTTACAAGAAAACACAAATAGTTTAATAAATTCAGAAATAAAATGCAATGAACAAAAGGAGTACTTTACCAAAAAGACAGAAAACTTAACAATGAACCAAACAGAAATCCTGGAGATGAAGAACTAAATAAAAGAAATGAAGAATAAACTAGTGAGCTTAGGAAGTAAACCTAACCAGATGGGGGAAAGAATTAGTGATATCAAAGATAGAAATCTAAAAACAATGCAGAGGGGAAAAGAGACTTGAGAGTTGTTTAAAAAAAACACGAAATAACTCTATGACAACTATCTGACTTGCAATGCAAATCAAAACTACAATGAGATACCACCTGCTAGAGTGGCCATTATCAACAAGACAAGCAGTAACAAGTGTTAGAGAGGTTGTGGGGAAAAAAAGGGAACCCTCATTCACTACTGGTGGTAATGTAGACTGGTACATCCATAATGGGTGATTCCTCAAAAAATTAAGAGTAGAGCTACCATACAACCCAGCAAACCCTCTCCTGGTTATATACCCGAACAACTCAAAATCATGTATTCACAAAAGATATATGCACCCCTATATTCATATGCATCACGGCGGCCAAGACATGGAGACAACCAAAGTGTCCTGCAATAGAGGACTGGATAAAGAAGATGTGGTGCATATACACAATGGAATTGTACTCACCATAAAAAGGATGAAATAGTGCCATTTGTGACAACATGATGGACCTTGAGAACATTATGCTAAGTGAAATAAGTCAGACAGAAAAAGCTAAGAACCATATGACTTCACTCATATGTGGGATATAAAACTATAACTTATGAACACAAACAGCAGAGTGGTGGTTGCCAGAGGGTGGGGGAAGAAGGGAGATCTAATATGAGGTCACAGGAGAAGATTTGACTTTGGGTGGTGGGCACACACTGCAATATATAGATCTTGTAACATAGAAATCCATACATGAAACCTATATATTCATGTTAACCAATGTCACCCCAATCAATTTAATAAGTAAAATTATTACAAAAGAATAATGGGTATTCTAGAATGAAAAGAGAAGGTGAAGGGAAAAGAGAGCCTATTGAAAGAAATTGTTGATGAAAACTTCCTAAACCTATGGAAAGAACTGGATCCTCAAATCCAAGAAGCAAACAGATTACCCAATTATCTCAATCCTAAAAGACTTCCTCCAAGGCACATTATATTAAAACTGTCAAAAATTAATGACAGAAAGAAGCATTTTATTGAGAAACCAAGATGGTGGCATAGATTAACGCCTGAGATTGCTGCCTTGAACAACCAATTCAAATTACACCTAAAAGACAGAACGGACATCATCCAGAACCACAGGAAGACTAGTTGAGTGGAAATTCTACAACTAGGAGGAACGAGAATATCATACCCAGACTCAGAGGAGGTGCAGTGCTGAAGTGAAACACACAGGTGCGAAGTGCGCGCGGAGCGGGCTGGCGGCAGAGGGCAAAATTGTTGTTTTCAATCGGGAGGGAGCTTCAGACGCTGAGCTCCAGAGCCGGGAGAGTCTCTCGGGACCCAGACTCAAACGGGAGAATTGGGACTGTCTGGCTTCGGTCGGAACTCGAAGGCAGCTTTCTTTCCGAGGTTTGCAGCGGTTGCTGGGACTTAGTG